AACCCTAACCCTATTGCATTGTTTACCGATTGCCCCTTCCCTCAATTGTATTGAGTCGCTAATCAGTCTTGCCCAACCTGAAAAATCAGCAGTGACTGAACATGGCCTAATTCAAACAGGACACAATATCTTATTCCAAGGCACTGAAAGGCTGGACAACCCATCCAACTACCATGTCAGATTACACAGGGAAGCCGTTGAAATTCAAAAACATAAACACAATTTCAACAGGAAAGAAGAGAGTTTAAAAATGTCCAAATGAGAAAGGCGGACCACAAATAATGTAGATCTTTACACCAGGCCATAAAGAGCAGTAAAGAGATGATTGCAAAAAACTAGTTACAGAAGTAACGACAGGTTACAGAACTAGTAACCAGTAATACACATGAAAAGGATCTAGGGGTCTTAGCAGACCATACACTGAACATGAGTCAGCAGTGTGATGTGGTAGCGAAAAAGGCAAATGAGATTTTTGGGCTGAAAGAAAAATGGTAGGCAGGTAATTTATACCTACCCCTACCCCACCTTCCTGAGTAGATATAAATTACCTGCCTACCATTTTCTTCTCACCTTGACACAGAGAGTACACCATCTTTCGGTGTTGTACCGCTGAGGATGCCAGTCACAGCTACTGGCGAAATGTCAGGTCCTACAATGCCAAGACTACGGCCATACAACCCGGAAAATCTACAACAACTAAAAAACGAAAAGCCCTGGGAATAACCATTTTGCCATTTCCGCTCTTTACTCGGGGCAAGAGACCAAGGCTACAACAACACCCTCTTCAAGTTCTTTCCTCTCGCCCAACCTCGAAGACTCTGCAGAGAGACATACTCCGGATGAGACAGATTTCACACGCAGATTAATTAATTTAATTAGAAAATCTATATGCTGCCTCTCCGGCGACCAGCTCAAGCCGGCTTCCAATTAAAAGGATGAAACAAAACCATTAAAACAAGATTTATTTATTTATTCAGATTTTTACCCTGCTCTCCCAGCCAAAGCCAGTTCAGGGCGGCTGACATAAAAACAGGTAGTTACATTAAAAACATAAATTGCAATTAAAACAAATTTCTCCCAGATTAGAGTCATAATAAAGTGCTGGTAGTTGTTGGTATTCATATGATGGTAGCAGCCAGTAACCAGTGTACAAGGTTCTCAGCTCACATTCACCTCTCAGTGTCCGCAGGGCTCTTTTTGTAGCAGGAACTCCTTTGCATATTAGGTGACACACTCCTAATGTAGCCAATCCTCCAAGAGCTTACAGAGCTCTTCTTACAAGGGGCTACTGTTAGCTCTTGGAGGATTGGCTACATTAGGGGTGTGTCACCTAATATTCAAAGGCGTTCCTGCTACAAAAAGAGCCCTTCTTACAGGGCTTAAGAACATAAGAGACGCCAATGTTGGGTCAGGCCAAAGGCCCATCCAGTCCAACACTCTGCCATACAGTGGCCAAAAATACCAGGTGCCATCAGGAGGTCCACCAGTAGGGCCAGGACATTAGAAGCCCTCCCACTGTTGACCCCCCCCCACCAAGCACCAAGAAGACAGAGCATCACTTGCCCCAGAGTCCCTATCTATACCTTGCTGTTCTCTAGGCTGTTGATGGCAATTTCCAGACTCCAGGGCCTTCTCACTTTCAACCAACCCATGTTCTTCATTGGTGGTGGCAGCTCCCAAAAGCCTGGTGGAAGAGCTCTGTTTTACAGGCCATGCGGAACTGTAAAAGGTCCCACAGGGCCCTGATCTCCTCCGGGAGCTCATTCCACCAGGATGGGGCCGCCACCGAAAAGGCCCTAGCCCTGGCCGTTGACAGCCTAGCCTTCTTAAGACCTGGGAGGGCCAGCCGATTTGGGCCCCTGACCGCAGTGCTCTCTGGGGAACATGTGGGGAACGGTGGTCCCTTAGGTATGTCGGTCCCTGACCATGTCGAGCCTTAAAGGTGAGAACCAGCACCTTGAAACGAATCCGGTATGCTGTCGGCAGCCAGTGCAACGATGAGGTAGCAGCCTAAGATGATATAGGTCCCAGTCACATGGAGGGTTTTAGCCCGGGAGAGGGACGGCTCGGGGGCGCAGCAAATGGGCACGATCTCACCGCAACACCTGGGAAGCGGCGCGCACTCGTCCCCGATCCGTCCCTACCCCCGAAAACCCGCAGCAAAAAAGAACCACCGACAGAGGTGGTCTTACCTGAACGGCCGCGGCAAGTGCAGCCGTGGGATCACCGGCGCGTCCTTCTACCGGCACATCCCCGGCTCCTGGATGAACTGCGCATGCGCACGCATGCACAGCCGGCTGCCTCAGTCACCGACCATGGCTTCCTCCCCAGCATCTGATCGTGCCAGGGAGCAACGGCGCCGCGGCTCAGGGGATCCATGTGATCTCGCCACGGCGTGTCTATTTTGGTGCGGCTTCCAAAAGCCGCACTTTGGACATGCATTTTCTCCCCCGTGTGGCAGGGGCCATAGATGAAATCACATCCTTAGGTCAGAAGCTTACCATAGAAAAGTCGGAGGATATTAAAACCCTTTCATGAAAAGCCGAGGGAGACTTTAGGCTAGTGCCTAAAAGAACATTTGGGAGGTGCTTTTGTCGCTTAATGCAGGAAAGGAAACGAGGCGGGATTCTTAACATCATCTTTTGTTCTTCTGCCTCTTTTATAGCCCCCTCCTCTACTTTTTCTTCCATCCATCTTTCCCCTTTCCATAGGGGTGCCATCCCCCTGGTGGGGCCGGGGGAGCTTCTGATTTCGGGGGCCCCAATCCATTGCTGGCCAGCTGGCCAGGGGGGGAGCCCCACCCCCGAACAGCAGCATCCCGTGGGCACGCTGCCGACACAAGGACATCACCCGTGATGATGTCATCACACCGGGGCCATGACGCAGCCACACTCTAGCATTCAGGGGGGACTCTATGGTTGCCATCGAGTGCTTGCCTTGAACGCTAGAGCGTCACTGTGCAATGGCCCTGGCGTGATGATGTCATCAATGGTGACGTTATCGCAACAACTGTTTGCTCAGGGGCGAATGTGTTTCTCGGGGGGCCTGCCATTCTATGTCTGTGCGGTACTGCCATGCCACACCCATACTTTTAAATAATAACTAAATAATAAATCCTCTGCATTTTAATATATTATAGTGTATCGGGGGGGGGGGAGAGAGAAGAAGCAAGGCGCTGCTGAAGTGGCTTGGAGCTCAATGACCGAAGAAACTTCAGCATCGCCTTGAGCCCCTTCATCTCGTGCGGGAGGGAGGAGAAGCAAGGTGCTGCTTAGTGGCTTGGATCGACAGCCTGGCTTGTGTTGCTCCCTTGGTGGCCGAGGCAGGCGGGAGCGTGTAAGGCTGGGGAGGAGGGGGCAGTGGCAGCACCCTTGGGATGGTGCCTGTGGTCTCGGCTTGCCCAGCCTTCGTCATGGCCGGGGAGGGTGGGCGCCAATGCGGAGAGGTTGAGAGGAGGAAGAGGTGTGCGGGGCGAGGGTTCACTGTTCCCTTCCCCCCAGCCGCGCATGGCCTCTGTTACCCGGGTGGGACAGGAATGGCTCGGTGCATCCAGCCAGCGGCCGCTCCCATTATTGCTCTCATCCCCCCCCCCACTGGGAGAAGCACTCAGTGCCCAACGGCAGCGCCCGCCCACTCACTTGCTCACTCGCCTGGGCTGCAGCTGGCCTCGCCTTGGGCCCGGATGTCTAGAGCCGGGGGAAGGAGAGACGAAGTGATCGATCAGGGGTGAGGGGACCGTGGGAGGGAGGTGGAGCTGAGGATTGGGGGAGGGAACCACAAAAACCACGGGGTGTGTGGGCCCCATGGGCCCCTCGTTAGCTACGGGCCTGCGTTATCGCGGGGGGGGCCTTGTGCAAAGTGAGTGGAGGAGAAGACTCCCGGAGATGAACTGGGAGCCCCCCTCCGGACAAAAGCTGAGACCTGGTAGCCCTACCTTTTCACTTTGCTTTCTCTTTCATTATAGAGGGACCTAGACTGCCCAGCAACACACTATGGCCCCCCTAATACTTCCAAACGTCAACCATGAAATGATTTGCAAAACATCTATAAAAGTACCTGGAGACCTGGAGGGTGAAGCCGGGTGAAGCCTGAGAGGGTTTGGGGAAGAGAGGGATTTCACTGGGTCATAATGCCAGAGAGTCCACATTCCAAAGTGGCCATTTTCTCTAGGTGAACTGATCTCTGTTGCCTGGAGACCAGTTGTAATTCGGGTTGCCTCCTGGCAACCGGCGAGGGTTTGGGGGAGGGGGGCTTACTTGGGGAAAGAGGAAGGCCCCGGCCTGGTTTCCGGTGTTTCACAGGAAATGACATTATCACACCAACGATGTCCAGGTGATGCTCTGGTATTTGGCCAAAAACTCTATGGCAAAACCAGCTTCCACCATATGGTCGTTTGGATGTCGCTGGTGTGATGACATCACTTCCTGTGTGACACCAGCAACTAGGCCGGAGCCTTTCTCTTTCTCCAGGTAAGTTCCCCCTTGACCAGCTGTTTGGAGGTTGGGGGGGCAGGGCCTGGCAGTGAGGCACCCGTGCCTCCACTTAGGGGGGTCTGCCAACTCCCACTGCAATCCCAGGAGATCTCCCGCCACCTACATAAGGGGGAGGGGAGACGACATCTGTCCCATCTCAAACAGTCCGAGCAAGAGCTCCAACCTGGATAGACCAGGCAAGCCCAATCTCATCAGATCTTGGAAGCTGAGCAGGGCCGATCCTTGCAAGTACTTGGAAGGGAGACCTCCAAGGAATACCAGGGCCAGGACGCAGAGGCAGGCAATCACACGCCACCTCTCTGAAATGTCCACGCCCCACTAGGGGTGACCAGAAGCTGCATGCGGTGCCTTTTGTTGGGAGCCCTTTGCCCTGGAGGTCTGCCACGACTCCCGTCTATCAAAGTCATGATGTAATCATGCACAGAGCCAGAAAGCGCAAGGACAGAGCAACCGAGATAATGACGATCATTGCCACCTCTAACTATTCTCTTATCTTCCCCTTCTTAGCATCACCGCCGGCATGGCTTACCAGTGCACGCAGCCCAGCCTCCCCCCACCCATCCATGGGCAGCAGGGCTCGAGTGGGGCCCAGGAGCCATCCACATGTGCGTCCTCGTGCACCACCGCCAGTGCCGACTGTGGGTCACCCGCCTACCAGATGACACAGGCCTGCCTCCCCCCGCCCATCTTCATGCAGCCTCGCCCCACGGAATGCGCAAATGCGCCAGCGCCACCGTTCGTCCCCATGTGCCATGCCGTCATCGCCGACCCTGGCCCCACTGCACGCCCAGAGGTGTCTTCTTCGTCAGGTGGCCCCTGCACTGAGCAGCCTTGCCTTCCTCTCGTGGAGGTGGTGCGGCCAGCCACAGCTGGAATTGTAGATCCAAACATGGCTAGATACAGCCATGCCAACGCAGAGGCCAGTCCGGCTCCGTGCCCAGAGGCGACGCCAGCCTATGTGACCCCAGGTTCAGTTGTCAGCTTGCATCCATCCGGGAGAATCACTGTGAGACCAGGCCCCGTGGGAGAGGCCAGTGTTTCTATGGGCGCATCCATGCCTCACATCTCATGAAAACCAACCACAGGCCTACAGAAAGATGAATGGATCGGTCATAGATCTTTTCTAATATGCTACAGCCTGCCCTGTCTGGCTTGAATGCTTCTTTTCTTGCTCTTTTTCCTAGTCGGGACTGATTGACACTACTCAAGACATGAACATGTGAATGGATTAATTAATGAATGATGCTGTCTTCTACTGAACCAGACCCTTGGTCCATCAAAGTCAGTATTGTCTATTCAGATGGGCAGCGGCTCTCCAGGTTTCTCAGGCAGAGGTCTTTCCCATCAC